AGGAAGGAAGGAAGGAAGGTTTCTGATGCTCCCTGCCAGCTTCCCACAAGCAAAGTCAATGGGGAAGCCAGCAGCAAGTCACAAGACACTTACACTCCCACTGCTTTTTTGCCCTTGGTCATTCTGTTTCTCTGTTTAGGTAAGGAAATATCTCTGAAACAATGACATAATGGGTCGCGGGTTGTCTAGTTTTATCTAAATGTCATGATATCCTAAAAGCCAAGTCACAGAAGAAACTGAAGCTGAAAAGAGATTAGATATTTAAGCAAACTAACAATCTAACATATTTCCAAATCAACAATGACATACTTAGAGAAAAGAAAAACAAAGGTTTTGGAATGGCCTTCACAGTACCCAGACTGAAATATTTTTGAAGATCTGTGGGGATATCTCATACCTATACTGCATGCAAGGTAACCTAAGAACATTTCTGAGCCAGAAGAGTTATAGAGTGGAGGAAAAATCCCAAAAGGAAGAACAGACAGACTCTAAACACATCCAAAAGAGCTCTTACAATGAACTGACCGGATAGGTGTCCAGAGAAGGGCTGCGCAATACACTTAACAACTGATTTTTTTAAAAAATGTATTATTTTTATTCTTGTTAAATTGAAATTAAACTGAAAAGCTCTGAAAATAAAAATAAAATTAACCTGAATATGTTGATGTTACAATCTCATCATAGCCCTCTTTTCCAACACAGCCACCCTGGATGGATGTGACACTTTCTGATAAAGCCTAAAACAACAAACAAGAAAATTTAACACATATTTAATTTCTTGACTTCTGATTAATGAAGAAAGGAAAATTGAATAAAACTGAAAACATGATTTTAACCCACAAACTCTTACATTTTAAGAGGATTGCATAAAACATGTATTATCTGCTTTTTGTTATATTCTCCTAATTGTCTATTCTTTCTCTATACTGCACTTATATAAATCTATGGCACATCTGCATCCAGAATACTGTGTACTCTACAATATTAGTTATCACATATGAAAAAGGTTATAACAGAGCTGGAAAAGGTGCAGAAGTAGGCAATCAAAATGACTGGGGTTTTTAAACATCTAGAATTTTTGAGAAAAGAAAAAAGGCAATTGAATGGAGATATGACTGAGGATTATAAAAATCATGCATGGCCTGGAAAAAGTAGGCAGGGAGTTTTCTTCTTCTTTCAAACACAGTGATCAGAGGTCATCCAAAGCAGCTAATTGAAAAAAAAACTCAGAGTGAAAAATACTTCTGCAATTAACCTGAGGGATTCATTACTACAGTACTCTAAGGGGAATTGGATAAACGTATGAAGGATGGGTTTATTAGTTTTGAACACTAACAGTACACCCCAAATTACTTTATTTTATTTACTTCATTCAATTTGGATGTTGCCTGACTCCAACTGACTCTGGAGGAAGCATGTCTCCATATACTAGTTGCAGAGAAACAATGTTAAGAGAGAGTTATGTCTCCATCTCCCATCTGTGAACATCTGCTGGTTCACAACCAGAAGGGTGCTGGTTGACTACTATCGGAAACAAAATGCTAGACTAAGATGGGCCTTGCCCTGATCCAGCAGAGGTATTCTTATATTTTTCTAAATGCATATGAAGCAGCCATCTTGCTAAAACTAAATAGGTCAGCTGAGTGTTTGGATGGAAAGTAATCTTAAAACCTCAGGTATACTAGCTTGAATTCCATGCTGGTAGAAAAGCAGAATATAAATGTAAGAAAATACTTTTACAAAACCTTTCCTATTATTTCCAGCAAGCATGACACAATATGACAATAGCATTTTATGTGTATCACAGATACTTATCATGAACAACACAAGGGCATTAGGATTTAAGAGTATTATACTCTAATACTCATTTAAGCTTTTTGAATGACAGCTTGGAGTAGCTGAATTTTTTTTACTGACTTCAGATAATTAACATAAAGCAACATCAAGTCCTGGGGTCTGCCTACAAAGTTCCATGTGTCAGTAAGTTTTTTCCCTCCATGCAAGTAAATGGAGGTTACATATTCACTGGCAAATCTTTTTTATTTATTGGATCTGTTAAGACTGCCCAATTGCAAAGACTCTAATAATCCCTGCCCCAATGGGTTAGAACACTCCTTCCCAACACCACCACACAAGAAAACTGCTGCAGCAGGCTTCTTTCAAGGGCTCCACACTGTCCCCAGTAGGCACTGGTAATCCCTCCAGCTAAAAAAGCAACTCTATCCAAGAGTCTAGCTGGCCCAAGGATCACTGTAAGGGAACAGGCATCTCTCCTCCCCCCATATATCTTCAGCAAAGTAGTTTCTTTCCTTCTTTTCAAATAAATGAAGTAATTTTATTTACTTGAAAAGGGAGGATTTTTTTTTCTCTACCAAGAAAAAATCACTCTTGACACCTATGAAAACCTCACTAATATAGTTTTCATTACCTTATCTTATTTTCCTTTTGGGGGGGGTCTTCTTTTTTCTTATCTAAACAATTTTTAACCCACTCTCAAGACCAAAGTCTTCTCCAAATGACTTAAAAAACACTTCCCACTGTTTGGAATGGAAAGTCAGAATGGGTAATTGGGGGTAGGGGGGTGGGGAGGGAACAGACAGAGAAAGAGAAACACACAAAAGGGAGATTCCTACTATTTTGACTGATCACAGTCATTTGTAGATGATTTAATTTATAAAATATGCTTGAAACAAAGCAATTCAATTATTTGGGAGAATTTTAAAATAAATTCTCTTACTTGAGGCAATAGATTTACACAATATACTTACATATTCATATTTGAGAACAGGAGTCTTTGCATTTTCAAAGTTATAGATCTCTAATATTCCATCATCTCTACCAATGAGCAATTCTTTAACTCCATCTCCCAAAATGTCAAAACTATCCATACATAGGATGCCTGAAAAACAGAATATAAAACAGATATCTATATCAAACATTAGCCATTTAAATCTGTTATACCTTACTAGCAATTTACAAAGGTTTATTTTTTAAAAAAATATAATAACTTTTACTTGACTCTGGAATGAAATCAATTCCTCACTGGAATTATATTTTAATCAAGTTATAAATAGATTAAGCTCTACCATTATAATCTTGAAACCTCAGCTTCATAGAAAATGATTATTTATATTTGTTATCATAATAAACTGGCATGTATTAGGTACTAGATGACACCTACAATTTTGCCAAATTTCAAACTAATCTGATTAAAAATGCTACAAATATAGTAAGTGAAAAAGGATAGAATTTTATATACAGTATTTACTGTTTTTATTCCTATTTTTGAATAACACATTTTTTATCAAATTTTACTAAAAACTATTACTATTTTTTCAAGAAGGCTTGTGGATAAAGCCATTTTCATCAAAAGTTCAAAGCTTATTCAGGTTCTTTCACCCATTAAATTGTATGGCAGAAATGTATGACAGAGTTTTACAGCATAAGTACAACATGACTGCAAAGTTGTGATGCTACCAATATTACAATGTAGTTAGGACCAACACAGTATCTCATACAGGTAGTCCTTAGTTGATGACAGCAGTCGGGACCAGAACTGCTGTCACTAAGGGACAAAGTCATAAAACACAATGTCATGTGACCATGCTGCTTAGTGATGGCAATTCCGGCAGTGCCGGTTACCATTGTTAAACAAGGATCTCACATGACTGTGACTTCCAACTTCCTGCCAGCTTCCCCTTTGACTTTGCTTGTGGGAAGCCAGCAGGGAAGGCTGCAAATCGCGATCATGTGACGGCCAAAACTCCAAAGACCAGTCATAACTACCACTCATTCAGTGCTGTTGTAAATTTGAATGGTTGCTGAACGAGTGGTTGTTAAACAAGGACCACCTGTACTGACCTTTTATTGTTTTGTAATGCATATGAAAAATATTTCTTTAGTAACATGGGTGATTGTTCTTAACAGCAATGAAAAATCATTGAGCTAAGCAGTTTGCAGGAACAAAAAGTGGTCTGTGAACTTGGGCCATGTTATACTTGAATTCAGAGAATAAATTTAGCTTAAAAAACCTATATACTATGGTTGAAGAATATCTACTGTCCCAAAATTAAACCCCACTTTCAGTCCCATACCGCCAGAATCTTTGCAGTCCTAGTTCAAACACTGAGAGATAAGTTGCTTTACTGCACACAAAAACTAAGTCATATATACACAAAAGGTCTGCCTACTGCAAAACACAAAAAACAAGCTCCATGTGTATGTGTGTCCCACTGTTTAATCTTAAGGCTTTTCCTCCACTTTTTGAATCCACAGACTTTTGACTATTTTTTCCCAGCCTTCAGACTGGGAGACACCTGTTGTTTTTTCTCTAGACTGAGCAGCAATGGCCCCCATGTTACCAGCTTCAGCCCTTACTATGGTCTATGTAGAGCACTTTGGTTGTCCATATATGATAGTATACACCTGTTGCAGTTTCAGCAATAGCTTTGAACTTCTAATTAAACCAAGATTAAATATGATCTAATTCTGGTTCACGCTAGCCAAAAATGGTGGCCACTCTTGAATTCAGATGATAGCTTTAACTTAGCTTTAAACACACCATGGTTAAAAAATAGGATAAAAACAGGAAAGAGATTAGAAGATGGTATACATGTGTTTCCATCAATTAACCTGACTACCCTTAATGTGTCAGGTGAACATGCTCATGAACTAAATTTACATGGATTTCCATATTTTTCTCTCTCTTTCTGTCTTTGCATTCTACGGGCATTGAAGTATTGGGAGGGTGCTGATACAAGTAGAAATCTGGCATTATTACAATAGGCTAACATAAATCTTAATGCTTTCAGTGCATTTAATGCCTTGACTCTTTTAGTGTAATCTTTTACTCATATTTTGAAGTTTTTGCTGGAAACTGAAACATAAAGTGTATATCTGAAAGATATAAGTGAAGAGAAGAACCTTCCAGGATGTGCTTCTGATAAGGGCCATGGACAAATGGAAAGACAACTATTATCCTGAAAGCAATCCAAGAAGTAACTATGAATGTAATCATAGGGCTCACCCTATGGAAAATTTGAGGAAAATGCCAGGGAAACATCAGGTGCCTGGACATGAACAGTTTCCTAAACATGAACTCATTCCTAGAAATAGTTGAGGTCTAGAAATAAGGCATAATTAGCTCATGGATTGAAAAGAAAGTCAATCTAGAGGGCAAAACCCTGCATGAACAATCTCTGAACATGATGTTCCTTTGAGAAGATTCCAGAATGAAGCAACTCAGGCCTATAAACCTCCCCTCACTTCACTTAATTTGCCTTGGAATTGTAAAGTGACTAACACATCCTAATTATGCTATGAAAATGCCAATAGGAGTGTGCATTTCTAATACAATCATCCATGATGAGCAGATCATAGATGAGGGATCTGTTATGGAATATGAGGGTGACCTTGGAAGATGGGGGGAAGAGATGCCACCTAGGGAACGATCAGATAAAAAAGAAAGGAGTCTACAACAGAGTAATGGCCAGAGAAAGAAACTTAGGAAGGACCCACCCTAACTACTCAGACGACAAATAGGGAGGGTGGGAGATCTGTACTTTCAGACTTGCAAGATTCTGTTAATATAGCCTTACAACAAAGGAGAATTAGCTCATCTAGTTGTGTTTCCTGTCTGGTTTGCCTGGGAGGGTTGACAGGATCAGACTATGCTGCACTGGAGAATGAAATGGCAACTCAATCCATATTCTGCCAAGAAAACCAAATGGACTTTCACAACCAAGACAATGTCAACATGATAATGGAAAATGAGCCTCCAGAATGGAGGTAACTAACAAGCTACTGGGGAAGAGCAGAGGGCAAGTACGAGTAGTACCACTAGTGCTTATAATATGGTTGGATTAAGGCCAAAAGTACATCCAGCTGCTGGGAAGTCTGATGCTGGAAAGATTTATATGAGCTTTTAGAGAAGACTGATACTTAAAAATCAAAGGGCATCAGAGAAAAGACCATCAGAAGACAAGGTGGCTACTAACATAAGCAAAAACTTACAATGATTCAGTTATTGACAGACAATCCTGGCAAACTGATATCCATCTGGTCACAAAAGTCCGAAGCAACTGAACAAAAGCAACCTTACATGATCTGCTTTTAGGAAGACCTTAAAACATTTTTGTTCTGAAGAGTGTTTGGGCACTGATGTTACTGGGCCGCTCTAATTAGTTATATTGTTGATTTTTAAAAAATATCATTACATTTTCTTGTATGGAATTGTAAATTGCTTTGAATACTTTAGGAAATGTGCAATCTATATACAGTAATTGTATAAACAAATAAATACATGACTTTATTCATTTAGGAAAACAACACAAGATACCTACCACCTCTTTTTTTCTCATTTCCAATTTTCCATTTTTCTATTGGAGAAACACCAGTAATCTGTACCAAGCCAATTTTGCCATCAGATGTCCCAAACAAAACTTCTTCACCAGAGTCACCTAGATATATAAATTAAAACTATTATTAGAATAATTATTAAGTAGAATTCTGCTAACTATTCAGTGGATTCCAAATTCTTGCAATTTTTTAAATTTAAATTTTAGGAAATGTCTCAAAATATTCTAGCAAAAGAAACACCTTGCTTCATTTCCATCACTCTTATAAAAACAATGGATCAGAATAATTCTATATTATAGAAAATACATATGATGATATTTGGAATTATTAAAACAATCATCTATGAAAATCAAATTAATCATTTTAATAACATTTAAAAGACCCCTAAACATACTACTTACCACCATTTCCACCATTCAAGGCCAGAACAGCAGGTGGACCTGGGACTTCCATTTCGTACAGCAAATTTGAACCCTCAAAAAAATGAAATGGAGATACTATTACTTATAATCCTTAACATTTTATTTTAATTTAAAAGAGATATAATTTTTTTAAAAAGTTTCAAAACTGCATTCCTGCCTTTAGAATGGAATGAAAACTGGAACCATGATTGTCAGCTGTATGCCCCTTTTAGGTTTAGATATTTAAAATCCCTACTTGAAAGAACAGCCCACTGGGGCCTGAATTGCAGATTGCCCTATTTCCTCCTGGGCTCTAACATATATATTGTTAGCAGAACTGCTAAGTTGATAGACAAGGCAGTTCAGCTAAGAATCTGTTATATTGAACAGATTGGGGTATCGTGTAAAGGTGAGATGGAAGACATGAGTGGGGAGGATTCTGAAATGGAGCTTCAAGGTTGCTGGGAGGGGGAAGAGAGGTTCCAGGGAAAGCACCTCCTCAGCCCCCAGCCGGAGGGGGAGAGTCAAGAGAAAGATACTGGCCCCTCCCTAAGGGCATCATGGTTATAGTTGCTGTTGTTGGGGATTGGAATTACAGTAATCTGGCGAGATTCTGTCTATCAGGTGTAAGCTAATAATGGAGCTGAACTGATTCTGGACTGTCTCGCTGTTGTTCTTGGGCTGAACCTGACAAAAGGCGATGTATTCATCTGAATGTTGGTTCTTTGTATTTAGCATATATGTATTTTATTATTGTATTTTCTTTTACCTATGTTATACTGGAAATAGACCTTGTATTTTACCTTTATTTTATTTTCTTTGTTATGGTTGTAAGACTAATCAATCAATAAATTATCTAAACTATCAAACTATCAAAAACTGAAGCCTAATTCATCTAATTCAGCCCAGAGGCATAGCATAAACCCATTCCAAACTATTTCATTTATGCCTTTTCAAATAAGATCATGAAAGCTTAGATTAAACATCACAAGGATACAGAGAATTAATGTGAAACAGAAAATACTGGGCTAACTGGTAAGCAGACCTAGAGATTCTAATTTACCTAAACAAAGTGGGGGAATACAAGAATCTAGAATTTCAGGAAAGTCGGTTTCTGCTCAAGACAAAACAACAACAACAACTGCTCAACAGAAAGAAAACCTGTCATAACAATAAGAGATCTATTGAAAGGAATATTTTTGACAGGATAATGAAAATTGGGAAAACAGACTGCAGACCTAATTAAAGAGCTATTGATTTCTGGGTTACCCCAGAGGTATAAAAGTAACTGTCTGCAATTCAATTAAGCTTCTTTGAATTCTGGAAATTCAAGAATTCTGAACAGAATTCTGGAAATTCTGTTGCAGGAAGTGATTTAAGGCAGTTAAGCTTCTGCCTTAAATCACTGCCTGCAACAGAATTTCCAGAATCTGGAAATCTTTCAAATTCTTATTCAATGTTCTTCCTCAAAACTAGTTTAGTACTTTCCACCATTCTCTGAGCAGGCATAAAACTATACTGGCATAAAATTTGCTGATCCTAATGCTCATCCCTATACTGTCAAGTTACAGAGAATTGTGTAATGAAGCAAGAGAAATCTCTGCCATTTGACAGCACCTCCTTCTGCACATGCATGCTATATATTACTCAGGCTACTGTGAAGCATAGATTTCAAAAGAGGCTTTTGCCACATCATACAATCCCCCTTTGTATTTGTCCATTGTTAAACTAAACTAACACACTGAGGGCTTACATTAAATCCTTCTGCACCATGAACTCCACTCCCCAGGTACCTGTCAGCTGTTAGGTATATTTAAACACAAGTTGGGTATTCTTTTGAAACAGTAGCAAATATATGTTTAAAAACAGCCTAACAGATGACAGGAGTTGAGGCAGAGGTGTCTGTGTGGCAGAAGTCTCCTTCCCACATATAGACCCCTCAACGCCTATCACTGAACGAGGGAGGGATTGGCTTGCAGATCTGGCAAGGTAAGGGGAGAGACTAATGTGAAAGACTCTCCTGCTGCCCAATCGATTCTGAAGGATAGTGCTCAAAATCCAAAAGGGAGAGGGCATGCCCACACCAGCTCAGGTGGCCAGTAAGAACTGCACCAATCCCTCCCATGGTGTCACTTGACCAAACTACCAACAGAATGGTCAATAAAGTGTAACAGATTATATGAAGTGCAAAAAGGTGTCAGGATAAGAGAAGTAACACTAGAATAGCTAAAGATAACTTAAGGCTGCCACAGGTGTGGCTAGGGATAAGACAAAGATAATGCCATAAGGTAGAAAAAGATTACTAGAACATGTTGGTGTTGCAGGTATATGCAAATTAGGAAAGTCACACCAAGCCTGTTTATCTCCTTTCCGCACCTCCATCATTTGGAGAAATGTAACCAAATTTTATCTCATGAAATTTTGCATCTTATTTTTTTCATGATTATGTATGTAACATTCCATTTCTATTAATCAATCTTAGTAAACTCAAAAAATGCAAAGAATGTTATTGAAATTCTATATACATATTTATCCAATAATTGAAAGAATTAAAACTGAAGAACTGTAATAAGTTTAAATAGGGATGAACTAAACAAGAATACTGAGTTAAAATACATATGTATCTATAAAAATATTTTTATATCATCTTTTGGCACTAAAGTGGACACCCATCTCTGAAAATATTTAAACAGAGATGATTAAAATCCAAAGAAAGAAATTAAGGCTAAAATAATAACTAAGAAGTTTATAAAATATACTAAAAATGGCATAATAATGTTTTAATTGATGATGGCCTAAAAGCAAATGAGAATGGACCAGTCAAGTGACTCTTAGGATAGTGCTCCCCAACCAAGATGTGTCATGGGATGGGGGAGCACTATCAGCTAAAGTTTGATGCAAGTTCTAGCATATCTATTAAGCTTACATATAAATGCAAACCATGAACACACAAAATAAAGAATGTTAACCAAATATTTGTGACAAAAATGCTTTTATAATCAAATAATTAATTTTAAAACAAAATGGATGCTAACTAACCTAAGAATATTTAGAATTTGTCTTCTTAAAGCTACACTTGACTTATTATATTCTGATAGTCACAAAGTAAACTTTTCTGGTTTACTTAGCAATCTGTAATATGTAAGTATATCAAATCTATTTCTAACTAAGAAGAATTAGCTGAAGATTTTGTAGAGCCAGGCAATAACATAAATACCCCAAAATAAATAATGGTAACCTTTCATGAAACAGGAATTTTCCAAGTATATGTTAGATTTTACTCAACTTACCAGAATTGCTGCAAGCAGATAAGATTTCTTTGCAAGTAATTGTAGATGATGATGATGATGATGATGATGATTGGTATGAACAGATGAACAGACTTCTGTCTCATTTTACTAACTTACCTTTTTAATTGTAATAAATAATGGTTATAAATAATAAATCAGACTACAATAATGGCAACAAATAAGATTTACCTGTAAAACTCTAAGAACTCTATCTTGACATGCTAACACAGGTATAATGCAAGACAGTTTATCTGCTGGAAGACAGAGAACATCATTGATTTTATCTCCTGACAGGTAGTAGTGCTGATCCTTACAGTCACAGTAATGGTTATAAATGTAGCTCGCACCAAGAAAGAGATCTGATCCAGATATATACCTAAAATAATAACAACATTGTAATTAAAACTTTAAAATAATTTAAAACACTATTTTGGGAACATAATTTGTTAAGTATTCATAGGAATCAACATAACAATCCAATAAGAAATCCATTTATTATTATTTTTTCCTTTGAAAAGTTTTGTTTTTAATTTTGTATAGCAATTCTCTGAGGACTACTAAATATGTTTCAAGTACCTTTCCAATTTAGCTGTTAATACAGTGGAGGACTAAAAATAACAAATATGTTCTATTTACACTATTTTAATACTACAGACTAGACACAGAACCAAAACAAGACAATTTGTCAATTAAGTTTAATTGTCAGTTAAGTTTAAGTAATAAAATAATCAGAATAATTGCCATCTACTAGTGTAGAGCAGTGAATACAGGATGCTGAAAGCTCCCCATTTATACCAATCTACTCTCATGATAGTTGTGGGATTAAAAACATTCTCAGCTCCCCCAAAGAGAAGCAGGATTCTGATATAAGAAACAGGAAGTAATTAACTCTGAATTTAAGGTGTAAGAAAGTAAGAACGTAACAATGTAACAATTCAAATAGGTTCTTCTTAAATATTTAAGCATAGTTCTCAATTACAGTTCATTGAGTATATAGCTTTTCAGAAAACTGAATTTAGTATGAAAAAAACCTCCTGTACTATACACAGAGGAGGAAACAGCCAGATGAAAGAAACAAATGAAGTCTTATAGTAAGCAATGCTTCCATTATTCTTCCATCCTACTTAAAAATTGTTGTTTGACCTTACTACTATATTAATATAACTTAATATATTATTTAACTTCCACTTCATTCCAGGTGGGAGATTGTATTTGTTATATAAGAACAACTGCTTGTTTATTGTGACAGTACTAGTAATATGTTGTAGACAGTATATTAAACAGAAAAACATATACAGAAAAGGTAGCAATTATAGTACTCATATATAGTACTTGAATTTAATAAGAATAACAGGACTATCTATTATGATCTAGTTATTGTAAAAAAAAAATCATATCTACCAACATTTTGATAAAAATCACTATTATTTTGTTAACCTATATTAGGTTTTTCATCTACTTTAATTGTTGCAGATAAAAGTAGTAAGCACAAACCTGTATGAAGAATACTGTGGATAACAATCATAATTTCATTTAGTTATGTCATTGTGACTCAGCAGAAATACTAGTGTTTCATGCTTATCCATAAATTAAACCAAATTGGTTTGAATAATTAAATTTCCTCAGACAATGTTTTATATATTTATAGAGTATATGTAAATGTTACAAGTATATAATAGTTCTGAAAGTCTGAAACTAGACCTGATACAGTACGCACAATTAAATAATGGCTTGTTTTTACACCACCCAGAGTTGCCTTATGCAAGCTGAACAGCCATATAAATGCTATAAATAAACCAATAGTAAATTTAATAAAAGATAATAAAATTAAAATAATTCACCCAATTTAAATATTAGATAGCTATTTTCTGTAAATAGATACTAACTTCCTAGATAATTCTGACTTTGCATTCTTAGGAAAGGATGTAGAGAAAATGGTGGCCCTACAGCTGCAGAGAAGCGTAGAAGCAGCAGATCATTTGGACTCTTGGCAGGCTGGAATATAACATGGAAACTGCATTGGTTGCACTTGTTGACTTTTGGAGAGACCAGGATTGAGGAGTACCACCATTCTGGTCCTCCTTGACCTTTCAGCAGCTTGTGATACCATGGACCATGGTATCATTCTGGACCACCTCCAAGTAATTGTAATGAGGAAAACTGCTTTACAGTGGTTCTTCTCCCCAAAGGGGCAGTTTCAGTCAAGGTGGGAGAGATCTATCTGGAGACATCTACTTTACAGTGTGCCTCAGGGATCTCTCCATTTCCCAGTTCTTTTGGTCAACTATGTGAAATCACTGAGAGAGGTTATTTGTCAGCAAATGGTATTACCAATAAGTATTACCAATAAGATCATGATATGATGCCATACACTGCATCTCCCAGCTGAACAAGTGATGCAGTTTTACTCCCCATCTCAGAGATGGTTTGCAATTTTGAGAGTTCTCCTAGATTCACAGTTCCTGCTTGAAGAGCAGGTGGCAACTGTGGCTAGGAAGGCTTTTACACAGGTAGGTATATGTAGCCATTTGCTGCTATTCTTGTATCAGGAAGTCCTCCTCATGGTTAATCCCTCCTGTGGTTTAGGAACCCTGTAAAAATGTTCCTCTTCTGGGTGAGACAGAAAGATGGTTCTTTATAATATGCAGGTGGGGCTTGCAGCATGATGGTTTAATTATATGGATTTTATTTTTGTCTGTATGTAGGTTTGGGTTATTTTTAAGTTATTTGTTGTTAGCCACCAGAGCTGTTTAGAAAGAATGGCATATAAGTATAGTAAGTAAATAAGCACCATTAAATTAATGTTTAATATACACACATAGCTTTGATGTTCTCAGTGAGGTTGGTATTAAAGGAAAGAAACTGTTTCCCTTTCTTTGTGAAACCTCGAACCTCGGAACCAGCAGCCACGAAAATTTTCTCCTGGAGAGTATTAAGAGCACCTCCCAATTCTAGCCTTGCAATCTTTTCCCCTGGCAAAGTCTTGAATATTGGCTAAAAAGAAAAAAGAAAAAACATATTCTGTATCATCACAAAATAAAGTTTAACAGGATTTGAATCACAGAAAATATAGGTATTTCTTTCCATTGTCATATTGCATCTGGAAATGTGACCCTTCAAAATAGATTACCTTTATAATCAGTTGACATTATAAAACCATAAGTTACTATATTTTGTTAAATTAAGTGTCCATGTATGGAAATGAATAAAGAACTTACAACAGCTTCTCCTTTTTTGATTCCAAAGCAGGTAACAACACCATCATGGTCTCCAGTGACAACCTTCAGTAAAGTAATAAGAGGATTTGTATATACAGTATTATTCTTTTAAGAGTACAAAGGAAAACCAATCCTTTTTGTCTGATAAATAATTATACCACTCGGATCTAGATTTTCTCTCTTCTATTTAATTCTGCCACTTAAAATGCTGCCTGATATTTCAAAATGGATCTCCAAAATGGAAACTACTTACCAAAGTGGAAATTAGTTTTGAGACGCTATTTGAATAAAATGGGTGCAAAGATAAAATATCACTGGCAAATATTGAAGGAGGAAATTCTAGTAAATAACCTGTTTAATATACTAGCGATACAAAACCTGGAAGAATTAAACTCATGGGAAGAGATATAATTGTACCTAAAGGATTAAAAAAGAAAAGATGATAAGGCTATGGATGATAAGACTGAAAAAAAAAAGGACAAGTAGTTTGTCTAGAATAAAAATCAGTGCAGGTACTAAAGAGTTGCTGTATAGACAGGATAGATACTGTAGAAGAGAAGAGAAACATCAGAAAAATTGTTATGGAATGAAATGAAATAATTGATTCAATCTGTAAATGAACTAGACTTTTATCAAAGGAGATACAAGAAAAAATAAATGTTTATTATGTTGGAAAAATAACACGACTTGCTGCCAAATTATATGAGAAAAAATTACAGGAAAATTAAAAAGTAAGCTTAAGAGTTTTAAACATATACAACATGAGATTAAGTCACAAGACTATTATTTATATTTTAGGATATTACATACATAAAGTAGATATAAAATATTTTTTCTCCACTATTTCTCTTCAGAGTACAATTTTTAAATCAGGTCTTCATCACATACAATTATTTTAATATACACTTTTATACTGCCCTGAGCTCCTGAACAAAGGATGGAATACAAATCAGATAAAGAAATACCTTCTGTGTAGCTTTGCGTCCTGATGCAGGGAGCAACTTCATGGTTTTCTGAGATGTCACACCCACCTAGTTGCAAATGCATCTTTATTAATATTTATGTTTGACTTATCCATTTTAAGACTAATTTTCATTTACCAAAATGTCAATACACTATTGTTTTAGAGAAGAACAGATATTTAATTATTAAAATCCATACTTTCCAACATGACGTTGGTTTTCCAACATAACAGTGGGTATGCATACATACACTTTCTCTCTCTCTTTATGTATATATGATACTAGGTAGAAGAGTAAGAGATTATGATTGCAATGATATGCATGCTAAGTAGAAACAGTAGTCTGTAAAATATTTTAAATTCAAAATTACCCATTTTAATTTCAAAACTGCCAGTCTCAAAACATATACCTTGGAAATGTTTCAAACTGAAAATACAGTGCATTTGGGAAGTATTCAGACCCCCTTCACTTTTTTCAATTTTGTTATGTTGCAGCCTGATACTACAATCGTTCAAATTACATGCTTGTATCAAAACAGAATTTTAGAAATGTCTGTAAATTTATTAAAAAGAAAAAACTGAACTATCACATTGGCATAAGTATTCAGATCCTTTGCAACAACACTTGAAATTTAGCTACATGCTTGTATCAAAACAGAATTTTAGAAATGTCTGTAAATTTATTAAAAAGAAAAAACTGAACTATCACATTGGCATAAGTATTCAGATCCTTTGCAACAACACTTGAAATTTAGCTCAGTGCCTCTCATTTCTCTCCATAGTTGCTGAGCTCTTTCTACACCTTGATTGGAGTCCATCTGTGGTAAATTAAATTGATTGGA